TCACTCATGTTACTCAAAAATCGCCATGGATTCCATTTCACTCAGAGTAATAGCCAAACTCTTAAATATGGTCTATAAATAAAGTCCTATAATATGGCTCCTTGCAATCTCTCTGACCCTTTCTCTCCTTTTCATTCACTGCTTCTAGCCATGCTGGCCTTCTTGCTATTCCTAAACAAGTCATGGCACACTTCCACATGAAGGTCTTTGTAACTACTGCTCCCTCTGCCTGCAACATTCTTTCCCCATGCTGCAGTGATCTTAGCAGCTCAAAATGACAGATTCTCACAAGTCTGTCAATTAACTAGATGGTGGTTCTGTTGGTCTCACTTGGGACTCACCTATGAGTCTGCAATAAGCTGACAGCTTGGCCGGGCCTAGAGGATCTGAAATAATCTCTCTCCCACATCTCAGATCTTGGTGCTGCCTGTTGACTGGCCTTCTATCTCTATATGGTCTCCCAAAATTTGATATTCTAGCCCATATTCCCTGCATAATACAAGAAGCATTCCAAAAGGGCAAAGGCAGAAGCTTCAAGGTTGCTTGAAGCTTAGAATTTGGAACTCAATGTCTTCCTTGTCAGTGGGTCAAAATAAGTTATATGACCAACCCAGATTTAAATGCGACCTTTTGATGGAACAAGGTGCAAAATGTTGTGAATTCACAATATCACACCCCAGATATTTGCATGGCTCAGTCCCTTCACATGTTTGCTACATGTCATCTTAGAAGTGAGGCCTTCCATGATTCCATATAAAGTAATTACCTTCCCCTCACCTTGGCATTTAATACTCCACACTTTATTTTAGCACCACCTGACATGCATATTTACTTGTTTATTATCTGCCTCCTTTCCACTATCATATAAGCTCTGCCAAGGTAGGAATATCTTCTTTTTGGTTCCCTAATATATCTGCACCACCTTGAACTCTGCCTTGTACATAGTAGGCACTCAGTCAAGACCTGCTGAATGAATTCTCTTATTCAAATGAGCATGTACTATAAAATAATACGGCAAGAATCCAAAATAACTCAAAAAGCATAATACAAATTCTATGCATGTGAAATATTAGTGGCTTTAGATGTTCTTTGATTTATTCTAAGATTTTGAACAGAACATTTTGTTACATTTCAGTGAGTCCATCTATATAGACTTTAGTCCCTGTTTCTTGAATATAATGAGAATGTTTTAATGTTTCAACTCTTCATTAAAAGTTTCTGCTGGGCCCAGAATGTATATGGTCTTGGTAGCTTACCGTTCTGGCACCAAATGTGGAAGCTGCAAGATTTAACTGCATAATAATAATAATTTAAGTAAGATTCATATGATTAATAGCATATCCAAGTTTTGCCTACATTAGTGTCTGCTAAGTTTACCATTTCTTCAGAACATAAAAAAAGAAGTTAAAAAAAAAGTCCTATATTAAGTTCAGAATTTAACTGGGAAAAATTCTAAGTAGAAAACACATCAGAAAACAACAGTTTATCAGACATATATGTAAATATGTGTATATAAAAAAAATAAAAATACTCTGACCTCATCCCTAAATCTACTCAATATAAACAGAATGAGTGAATGCTATAGAGAGGAGAAGATATATACTAGACATCAGTACTGGAACCACTCTCACCATCCCAATCAACTAAAGCACTGTTACCAGGTCTAAAACAGTTTTACCTTCCATGTGGGAAATAGGATTACTTACCTATTAAAAATTCTATTTTCTGTACTAGAATAATAAAACTAGAGACAATAATGTAAATGAGTCAGCTGGTTACCAACAAAAGAATCTTTTCCCTCAGAGAAACGGGTATGTGAGGGTGAAGGGGTGGGAAGGAGACCTGCTTTTTATTGTATATCCTTTTAGGCTCTTTTTTTCTTTTTTAAACACATGGATGTAGCACCTCTAAACAAAAAGTAAAAATAAAAACATCAATGCAATTTAAAAAAAGGAATTAATTCCCTCTCTGGCTCTAGACATAGTATATAATCTGAAAGGAAGTTTTCATAAGTGGCATTTTACATAGTACACAGCCCAAGGAAAAATCAGAATAAAATGGTAAGCACTCTATATGCCTTATGTGTTTCATGTGTCTGTATTTTATGGCCCATGTGGAAATCACTGCTTCTCTGCCAAACTGACAAAGACCGGGATAGCATCTAAAGATGGTAGGTAGTTTAATCCAATAATGTTAATTTAGGTAGAAGAAAACTTAAAACTAAGAATATAAAAGATCTGCTACCTTAAAACAATTTTTTTAAAACAAGTAAGTTTTGTGATTTTATTTTATTTTATTTTTTGGTTTTAATTCCAATATATTCAACATACACTGTTATATTAGTTTCAGGGGTACAATGTAGTGATTCAACAATTCTATACATCACCCAGTGCTCATCACAAGGGCACTCCTTAATCCCCATCACGTATTTCACCCATCCCTTACCCCCACACCCCTCCTCTGGTAACCATCAGTTTGTTCTCTATAGTTAAGAGTCTGTTTCTTGATCTCTCTCTTTTTTTTTTAAAGATTTTATTTACTTATTTGAGCGAGAGAGAATGAGAAAGAGCGAGCACATGAGAGGGGGGAGGGTCAGAGGGAGAAGCAGACTCCCCGCCGAGCAGGGAGCCCGATGTGGGACTCGATCCAGGGACTCCAGGATCATGACCTGAGCCAAAGGCAGTCGCTTAACCACCCAGGCGCCCTTATTTTGTTTCTTAAATTCCACATATGAATGACATCATATGGTATCTGTCTCTCTGATTTATTTTGCTTAGGATTATACTCTCTAGCTCCATCCATATTGTTGCAAATGGCAAGATTTCATTCTTTTTTATGACTGAGTAATATTCCATTGTATATATACACCACAACTTCTTTATCCATTCATCTGTCAATGGACACTTAGACTTTTCCATACTTTGGCTATTGTAAAAAAATGCTGCTATACATGTAGGGGTTGCATGTATGCCTTTGAATTAGTTTTTATATTTTTTGAGTAAATACCCAGTAGTGCAATTACTGGATTATAGGGTAGTTCTAGTTTTAACTTTTTGAGGAATTTCCATATCGTTTTCCATAGTTGGCTGTACCAGTATGCATTACCACCAACAGTGCAAGAGGGTTCCTTTTTCTCCATATTCTTAAACACTTGTTGTTTAAGCTTTGTTATTTTAAAGCAACAAAGTCCTCTTAGGATTCATTTTACTTATACCACATGGATTTAGAGATACATACACTTTTACACTCATGAGTTGTTGATAAACTATTATACCATTGTTTCTGATGTGCTTTCTACTCAGAATTCTTCCAGGTGCCTAGATTAAATTCTGATTCTAAGTAGCCATAGTAGTAAAACATGCTTTGATAAAGTAAATCTTCACTAGCCAAAACTGCTGCATTAGCCAAATCCTAAACATTAAAGGTTTCTTTCATACCAGTGAAAAAGATTAGGTAGTTTAGGGCGCCTGGGTGGCTCAGTTGGTTAAGCGACTACCTTCGGCTCAGGTCATGATCCTGGAGTCCCAGGATCGAGTCCCGCATCGGGCTCCCTGCTCGGCAGGGAGTCTGCTTCTCCCTCTGACCCTCCTCCCTCTCATGCTCTCTGTCTCTCTTCTCTCTCTCTCAAATAAATAAATAAAATCTTTAAAAAAAAAGATTAGGTAGTTTATTTGACTCCCAGCACTGGGGACATTTTCATTCAGGGAAAGGAACTGTTCTCTTCTGCATTAGAAATAGGAATATTACTATAAAAAAAAAATTGATGAATCAAACAGCTGCCAAAAAAAAGAAAAAAAAGGCAGATATACATTAGAAATCCTAATGGTAGGAAAGAGGAAGGGATGGATAAACAAGAGATAACCAGGAATCACCTTCTGGTCTGACCGCTTCCATGACCTAGCTGTATGACCTTAGTCAACTCTTTTAACCTCTCCAGGACTAATTTTTTCATTTAGAAAAAAGAAAAAGAAGGGAGACATAAAACCAGGAGATTTAAGATTCTCCTTAAGTTAAAAAAAAACCCACAAAACTACAGTTTTGTATTATTAGTAGCATGTTGTTCATTATAGCCCTTGGACCTAAAAAGTTCTCTTATGAGAATTATGCCAAAAATGTACCAGCACATGTGAGCAAAGATATTTGTATCTGGACAAGGATGTTCACTGACAGCATTATTTGTATTAGCAAAAGCCTGTGGAAAATGACCAAATGTTCAGTAGACAGCTTGTTAAAGAAATCATAGCATACCTACACAATGGAATACTACAAAGCCATTTAAAAGACTGAGGGAGCAGTAGGAAACAACCTCTAAAATACACGGCCATATGAATAAAGCATGGCACAGATGGTATAAAATATAGTGCATCTTTTTTTTTCTTCAAGATTTTATTTATTTATTTGACAGAGAGAAACACAGCGAGAAAGGGAACACAAGCAGGGGGAGTGGGAGAGGGAGAAGCAGGCTTCCCGTGGAGCAGGGAGCCCAATGTGGGGCTCCATCCCAGGACTCTGGGATCATGACCTGATGATCCAAAGGCAGACGCTTAACCGACTGAGCCACCCAGGCGCCCCTATAGTGCGTTCTTATCTTGGTTGTTAAGAAGGGGATGTTAACATACACAAAAATGCAAATTTATATACACAGATGGACCTACAGGTATTTTATATATGTATATATAGACATATGCACATATATATTCTTATTAATGCAAAAAATATTTCTAATGCATACACAAGAAACTGGTAGTAGTTGTTGCTTATGGGAGGGGAACTAGCACTTTAAGGCAGAAGTAAGATTTAAGTTTTTACTGTAAACCACTTTTTCGCTGTCTGATTCTACCATGTGAAGTTTTTATTAAATAAATTAAAAAAAAACATAAAATTTTTTTAAAAAATACTTATATTTCCCATACTTTAAATTACCTCAAATACCTTACTTATCAAATATGTGTCTTCTCTGAAAAAAGATTATTATTTTATGCAAAGATTTTTCAGATTACCTTAAAAAGCCTGGGAAACACATCTGCTGGTTGTCCACGAATCACAAACAAACGAGAATTTAATTTTCGCAGATTGGCATCAAGGTCTTCAAGACATTGAAGCAAAAATCTACAGAGAAAAATATTATTAAAATTCTTAAACATGTATACTTAGAAGATATAAAGTATTACAAAATCATGTTATTCTAAAAATTGACATGCCAACCCCATAATTTTATTACCTCTTATTATCTTATTATTTCTAACTGATCTGTAAATTACTGTTTCCAGAGATCATACTTACAATTTTCTTATTACAACACAAGTTTCTCAGTATTTTAATGAAATTCCTAAATTAAATCACTAATTTCCATTAAATAATAGTGAGTGAATGTTAGCATGGTTTAATTTGTAAGCATAAAAATTATATAAATTAAATGAACTGATTTCACTGTTTCATTGATGAAATGAACTCAAGTTCAAACAGAAAAGCCATCTTGAAAAATCTAGAACATTTTTCTACAGAAAAAAATGGAAATATCCTATTTAATCACTCTGAGCAAGTGAATAATTTAAGAATTTGAGTATTAGGGGATACTGTAATCATCTATGAGAGAGAAAACATGCCTATATTCAAGTTTCTTATCTAATTAAAGAAACTGATTAAATAGACATGAAATTATGTGGCATAACTCTGAATGCCAGATTAATTAAAAAAGAAAAATTCCATGCAACAGGTGGGCTTTTCTCAATGAAGTAAGTACCAACAAGGCTTACACATGATAGTATGTTGAGAAATTCTGGGGTAGTACTAGAAGACTGCTCACTGTGCATCTTTTATTGTAAAGAAATGGAGCAGTCTCCAAGAGGAAATCTGAAAGAGAGGTCATCCCTGGAAAATTCAACCTCACTATTTGCCTCATTTCATCTAGATTCTCTTCCCCTCAGCTGGACATATCTTATTTCCTCTTTACTCTGCTCCTTTCATGTATCTGAACTTAAGGTTAAATATGTGTCTGCCTTTTCCACAGGCCATGTGTTCTCTGAGAATAGTGATTGTGTTTACTTATGAGGAGAAGCTAATATGAATGAAAAGGCACATTTCAGAAATGCATTGTCCAATATGGTAGCCACTATGCACATATAGCCATTTAAGTTTAATCACCAATTCAGTTTCTCAGTCACACTTGCCATATTTCAAGGCCTCTCGACAGCCACATGTGTGCCTATTAGTTACCATATTGGACAGCACAGGTGAAGAACATTTCTATCACTGCAGAAAGTTCTACCAGACACCATTATTCTAGGAGGCTGTTCAGTTCAGATCATTTGCCTATTCTGATACTATCATTTCATCAAGAAAGTTTTGTTAATTTTTTACAGTTGTAGTTATTACTGACATCAGTATACCTAGTCAAGTTTAATACTCTTTTCTATTTAGGAGCCATCATCTCTATGGGTGTGGGAACTCATGAAGACTCATGACTATATATATCACCTTTATTTATTTTTTTTAAGATTCTATTTATTTATTTGCCAGAGAGAGAGAGAGAAAGCACAAGCAGGGGGAGTGGCAGGCAGAGAGAGAAGCAGGCGCTGAGCAAGGAGCCAACACGGGACTTGATCCAAGGACCCTGGGATCACAACTTGAGCCGAAGGCAGATACTTAACCGACTGAGCCACCCAGGTATCCCCCATCATATCACCTTTAGGAAGTTGCAAACTTGTCTTTAAACAAACAGGAAACAAATCTTTCTATCTTCACATTTGTATTTCACCTCACCCCTGTTCTGTTTGGGTTTGGAGCCATTGCCCTAACACTGACCCCTACCCTCAACTTACCACTACAAATGTGCAAATACTCTGGGGGAGAAGATTGTTGTTATTTTTATACCAATACAAAAGTACCTGAATTTTATAAAATTATCCGTAACTATGAATAATTTTTCATGTTTGGTGATAAATGTTTATTACAAAACATCTAGTTTTATGTATTTGCTTGGCAAAAGAGTTTTTAGACACTCTAGCAGTCAGATAAAAAATTAAGAGGTTGAATGAACTAGCAATTTTAAGTTTTCTTAAATTTAAACAGTACAAAACTAAAATGTCCTGGAAGGATAATCCAAGGCAGAGATAATTCTCAAATCTCTTTTGTGCCGTTAGTTTCAGAATGGAAATGTTTCCATATGGTACAAGCAGGTCAAGGATAGATGGGAAAAAATGGGAAAAGAAAAAAAACCTGATTAATGCATAAAATGAACAAGCCTGGATTAATTAATAATTGGCCTTTTATTTTTCCCTTTCTTGTTCACAGGCTAAGCATTCTTAATACTTTTCAATAAACACCCTATGAACCAAACACTGGAGAGAATGATATGAACTGAAGTAATGTCTTACAATGGAAAATGCAACCAAATAATTAGTTTTGTTTTGGTACTGCATAAAACAAAGGAATAGATATATTTAAATATGGTGTTTTTCTTCCATAGTATGATATTTTTCTTCCACAGATGTTATCATTTATATCATTGTAATTTCACATAAAAATTAGAGAAGTACAGTGGACTCAAATATAGGTACTTTTTTTTTTTTAAAGATTTAAAAATTTTTTTTATTTATTTGACAGACAGAAAGATAGCGAGAACAGGAACACAAGCAGAGGGAGTGGGAGAGGGAGAAGTAGGCTTCTCGTGGAGCAGGGAGCCTGATGTGGGGCTCGATCCCAGGACCCTGGGATCATGACCTGAGCTTAAGGCAGACGCTTAAAGACTGAGCCACCCAGGTGCCCCCAAATATAGATACTTTAAAAAAGAACATTGTACCTTTCCACTGTGACTTCTGAAACCAAATGCATATATTTTTTTCATAAAATAAAATTTACTTTGCACATATTTACTTATGTTATATGTACATAAGAAAATTATTAGAAGAATACTTACCAAGCTGTTAATAATAGCTACCTTTGGGGAGTGGGACTGAAGATGAAACAGGCTTTTTTTTTTTTTTTTACCTCATAAAAAGTATAAAATTGATAATGAGCATACACTCAAAGTAAAACAAACTGAGAAATACTGTATCTACTATAAACAAGGTTTAATACAGAGTGAATATCTTTTCAAAGCAAGAGACATACCTCTATGGCATCAATTTTGTTGGTTTCATAGTATTCCATTACATGGATATCCCATAATTTAACAACTCTAGCAACAAATTACTATCCTTCAATCAATCCTGAAAAGTTCTAATTTCCTTATCTTTATGGCGGGGATAGTAATAGGACCCATATCACAGCATGTTGTGAGAATTAAATTAACTAATATATGTGAAGCTCTCAGAATGGTGCCTGATCCATAATAAGCACAATTACCTGTTATCTATTATTTTTGGTCCTCTCCTTCCTAGCACTTCTGTTCTTGGTATAATAATTCTAGCCTTTATTATCTCTTGCTGGCATTATTTATTGCAATGTCTTAAAATACATTTTCCTACCAACATCTGTTCCCCACTCTAATCCATTTTATACAGTACACCAAATCTTTCTGACGCACACTTTCCTGTACAAAGGTCTTCAAAAACTCATTCCCTAAAACACATAATTTTGTTTGGCCACTAACTTAGGGTTCCAGATTCATTTCTTACTATTCCCCCTTCCTTCTCACCAAACCAAACTACTCTTTTCGCTCTCCTGGAATGTGCTCCATGATCTTCCCTCAGCCTAGAATACCTTTCCCAATTTCCATCTCTTCAAGTTCATATACAACTAATCTTCAGTCTTCCAACTGAAAGTAATTTCTCCATCATCTAAACTATTAAAGGACATATGGAACTCATCCTAGAGAAACATTCACATTGTACTTTACATTACAGCTATCATATATACACAGCACCTTCTCCTTCTGATGGATTCCAAATTAGTATGTGTCTCTCATTCCTAACTATACAGTTTTCTTAACATGTGTTTTGGTTTCTACATTTGGCAAACAAATATCATATGATCAATACAATCTGTTGAAAAGATTAGAAACAGGATTAAAAAAAAAAAACCCATAGAGTTGTCTTGTATGACTGTTGAAAAACTAGAAACACACACACACAAAAAAAAAAAGAAAGAAAAACTAGAAACACTATAAAATCACCTAGTAGAATTACTAGCACTTGGTAGATATTCATTAGCATAAGTTGGTAGCATAAGTTATCATTATTCTCCTCTTGGAATAATTTATATTTCCAAAAAAAGGAACACATATTTCTATGTAAATACCTGGGAATGAGAACAGAAGACAATTAATTAGTTGGATGCCTACATCTACACGCATAATTGTCTTGGATTCATAATTTCTCCTGAATGTGACTTTGAACAAAGGTTCAATGAATATCTTTCCCAGTGACAAGGCAAATGCAAACATGAATAAGTATATAACAGGAGCAAGGGAAACAAAAGCAAAAATAAACTATTGGGACTACATCTTGGGACTTCTCTTCTTCACTCCACTCCACAGTGAAGGGAAACAATCAACAAAACTAAAAGACAACTTATTGAATGGAAGAAGATATTTGCAAATGACATATCCAATAAAGGGTTAGTATCCAAAATATATAAAGAACTGATACAACTCAACACCCAAAAACCAAATAATCCAATTAACAATGGGCAGAAGAAATGAACAAACGTCTCTTCAAAGAAGACATATAAATGGCCAACAGACACATGAAAAGATGCTCAACATCATGCATCATCAGGAAAATGCAAAACAAAACCACAATGACATACCCCTCACACCTGTCAGAATGGCTAAAATCAAAAACTCAAGAAAAAAGTGTTGGTGAGGATGTGGAGAAAAAGGAACTTTTGTGCACTGGTGTGGGAATGCAAACTGGTGCAGTCATTTTGGAAGACAGTACAGAGGTTCCTCATAAAATTAAAAATAGAACAACCTTATAATCGAGTAATTGCACTACTGGGTATTTACCCAAAAAATACACTAATTCAAAGGGATACATGCACCCTTGTTTACTGCAGCATTATTTACAATAACCAAACAATGGAAGCAGCCCAAGTGTTCATCAATAGATGGATAAAGAAGATACACAGATATGCATATATCATGGAATATTACTCAGCCATAAAAA